ATCACCACTTCCTCCAGCTCTTTGCCAGTTCCTGTGAGTTATTCCCTTGTGTTTGTTCCTGGGCATCAGTGCTCTTGAGAAAGCTCCGTGGTCCCACCTGGCTGGGAAAAGCCCAGGGAACAGGAGGGAAGGGCTGGAGCACGAGAAGGAGCATTTTTAGAAACAGCACAGAAAAAGGCAGAAGCAGGCAGGGAGTGTGACCCTTCTCCAGCAGCTTTTCCCACCTACTCCCTCTTGTTCTGCAGGCAGTGGAGCTCCTGGCTGCAGGGTGATCCAGCTCCAGCAGCAAGGAGTGGACCATGGCACAGCAGGCTCCAGCTCTGCCCCAGTTCCACCAGCCCTTGGGGTTCAGGGGTCACCTCGACCAGGAGACACCCATTCCCACAGAGAGGGAGAGAGAGCTCCTGTCTCTGGAGCTGGGCTGTGGGAAAGAGGAGCAGTGGGAACAGCCCATGCACAATGGCTGTTTGCTTTGCTGCTTTCTCACCTTTCTTTTGGCCACTGCCACACCTTAGGCTGGGGGTTGGGTTTTGGGGAAGCTGGGCTGGCTGTGTGTAGTTACCCCAGGGATTGGCTGCTGCTGAAGTTGCAGCTCCAAATCACATCCAGGCAGAAGAACAAAGCATCAGGAAGGGCTCTGTAAAAAAAAAACCAAAGCAGCAACCACAAAGCAACAGAGGCAGGTGAAAAGGGAGAGAAAGGGAGTGATTTTTCCAGGCAATATTCCCAGTCCCCTCAAAATACAAAGCTAAGGTGAAACCCTTGGAAGTTTTCCACAGATTTCACTGGAGTCCAGGCCAAATTCCCTTTTCTATGATTGACAGATCTTACCTGTCACAATTCCTGCTCTCCTGAGGGGATGAGCTCCTGTCTCAGTTGAGTTCAAGCAGCGTTGTAGGTGCTCAGCTACACCAAAAACTGGTCCTGTTATGAGAAACTGGTTTGGTGAAATCACTGTGCAGAGCCTTCCCCTGGTGATGCAGGTATGGAGGTGTAAATCTGGGATTTAGCTGCTCATCTCAGCCACTCTGTTTTCCCACTGAGCTCCAAGAAACACTCGTGGGAAGGGGCTGGATCAGCCTCCTTGTGCACACAAGGCAACGGGCACTTGTGCTGAGCCTTCCACAGCTGTAGGGTGGGTTTGAGTGGCCTCAATACAAAACTATTAAAAAAAAACTATAAAAAAAAACCCCTTGGATTTCATATTTGAACCTAGAGGGTTTGTCTTTCAGCATTTGGGCTTAATCATTAATTTCCCTGTGTCTGTGGCTGCGTGCCTGCTGTGCAGTGGGAGCCAGGGCTGCACTGATAAGCTGCTTTGGGAAAGCTGATCTGTGTTGCACTGATTCCTGTTATTTTTTGGTATTACCCAAGCCATGAGTGCAGCTTGACTCTGGGTGGGGACCACACAACTCACTTCTGGGAGGCCCAAGGAAGCAGAGCTTAATAAACATATCCAACTGATGGGTAATTATCCATTACTGTTGAAGTCCATAGCATGTAAATACTGTTTTTTTCCATTGTAGAGGTGAGAAAATGAGAGAGTGTGTGAGTCCCCCCCCTTCTCCCAGTGGTTTTCTTGCAGAACCAAGGGGAGATGATGCTTTCTGACTCCTACAGCTCTGCTGCACACTCAGGAAAATCCCTACATGTGACTTAGCCCTTTCTAGCTGCCTCCACAGAGGTGGTGTAAAAACCTCCTGAAAAAGCACTCTCTGTTAAAAACGCTGCTACTGTTGGAAAACAGCAGTGCCAAGCTAGGAAAAAAACACCCCAAACCCATACTGGAGTTGCCCTTTCCTCAGCTCCTGAGCTATTTGTGTGTGCAGAGGGAGGTGGTGAGGGAACCAACCTCCAAACATGATTAAAACATTGTTTTCTGAGAGACGTGCTGTTCTGACCTTCCAGTGAGCTATGAAAAAGGGCACTGGGAGCACATGGAACCACCAGCACATGAGTCATGCCTAAAAAATCTTTGAATGAAAGAGATTGTCTAGATAGTGCTGCTCTCCCACCCCCAGCACCCAGGGAAAGCTCCTCTGTGCTGCTGTCACCTCATGGCTGGAGCTGGTGCCCAGTCCTGGCTCTGCTGACT